CTTTCCAGTTGTCCTCCATCGTACCTTCTTGTTCTTTCAGTAGATCCTGTAGTGCTTGGAACTTGTTGTTGAGAATTATCTTGGATTCGTTGAGGTTGTTAGTATCTCAAAGTAAGGCTGTATCGGACTTTTTAGTGCTGTTTCCACAGTTGTCCAGTGTTTCTTTAGCTTCAGTCTCATCTTGGCCACAACCAGGTGGCAGTGATCTGAAGTTATGTCAGCTCCTCTCCGGGTTCTCACATCTTCCATTGACCTTCGGAATTTTCGGTTGATACAAATGTGATCTACCTGGTTCTCTGTGGTGTGGTCCGGTGACATCCATGTAGCTTTGTGTATGCGTTTATGCGGAAATATTGTGCCGCCTATAACCAATTTGTTGAATGCATATAGATTTGCAAATCCCTCCCCATTTTCATTTCTCTCTCCTAGTCCATGCCGTCCAATTATGTCTTCATATCCTGTGGTGTCCACTCCAACTTTAGTATTTAGATCTCCCTTCAGGATGATGAGGTCCTTTCTTGATCACTTCGCTATAATTGATTGCAACCTCGAGTAGAACTGATCTTTATCGTCGTCGTTGCTATCATTGGTGGGTGCATAACATTGGATAACATTCATTGTGATCCCTTACTTTTTTGTTTTGAATGATGCTTTGATAATTCTGGATCCATGAGATTCCCATCCTACAAGTGCATTTCGTGCTTCTCTGGACATCATCAGAGGAACTTCCTGAGTGTGTGGAGCTTTTTTCTCTTCGTAACTGGAGTACAGCAGCCTCTCTCCCGTACCTAACCTTTGCTGTCCAGCTTGTGTCCAATGTGTTTCGCTGATGCCAAGTACTGCCAATTCGCATTTTCTCATTTCCATTGCTATTTGGCTGGTCTTCGCGTTCCCCCCCCATTGTCCGGAACCCCCATGTACCTATAAAAATTGTTGCGTCAGCCTCGTGACTTCCGAAGAATCTCAGCTTTCATCATGAGGCGTCATAATTATTCCTTCAACTCCCAGGGCAGATTTAAATGATTTGAATATTTTTTTCTGGTTGGCGTTTTTTTAGCTAGTCGGTTTTCTACGGGATGGGGTCGCTAACCCCATGCTCAACCCTCCTCCTTTACCCGGGCTTGGGACCGGTAGTAACTCTAGAAGAGCCACAGGCAGAGTTATTTGACGTTAATACCTACTATAAAAATAATCAATGAAGAAAAAGTACTTCACACAAGAAACAGATCTTCAAATCCAATTTTAGTTGAGCTGATACGAATATCAGATGGGAGTTTATCAGCGAAAATCAAGTCTGGAAATATATACACTTCGTTTAAAGCTGTACATTGTTTACATACCCAAATTCTCAAAGTTGTATGTTCATTTAAATTAAATTCCAATGTTGTTTTTGACTTAGTTACTCTCACTTACAATAATTCCGTTGTGACAAACCTGAGCGACATTTAATAAATATACTGTTTTCAACTTATAACAAAAGTAACTAAACATTGCGATATTTTACTAACGTCAAGAAAAGAAAGACCTACTGGGCATTGAGTTTAGAAACAGACTACTTACAAATATATAGTAGTATTGTAATTTATTATAAAGATTACAAACTGCGCAACTTGGATTCAGTGTACTTATGTTAGCTTGTTAAACAGTCCACTATACAGTTATGTGATTTATCATAAATGAAAAATACAGAAAAGATGAATATATCATACCTTTTCCGTCAGAAAAATCGAGGATAGTTTAAATAAAAAAAATATTCGTGTTATCTAACACATAAACATTCAATCGTTTGAATGTAATTCTTAATTGATCTTCGTTGGTGAATATTTCCTGATGATACGATGTGAATTCGTACACCGTTTTGAAGTGTCCAGTAGTGCTACTAGATTGTGCAAAGTCAAAAGGAATCAATAAAATAAGTGCACTCATGGTATTCTGCTTCGGTTGTTCTTGTTTCATTTAAATCTTTACATACAAAAATCTAGATGAAGATATTTTGTGAGAATTTTTACCAGTTTCATAAAAACTGGAGGTAGGGTAAATGAAAGGCATTAAAAACAAAATTATGATCTTAACTATTAAAATCACTATAATATCCACAAAACCCTCTCTGATATGAATCATTATATGCTCATAAGTGACTGGTTTCAAGAGGTATTTCTTGGAGTGAGAAGCAATGACCAGTGCAGTTCAACCGGATCTGTTGTGAGATAGTAACTCACTGAAAACAATAGTGAATGTGTCGCTCAATTTCGCGGATTAGTTGAAGTTAGACATTAACACCGTTGGATGCCGGATCAGTGGTCGAGATGTTAAGCACTCGCACGCGAGACCGATAGGTCCTGGGTTCGAATCTGGCGAGGCGGGATCGTGAATTCGCACTGCTGAGTCACACAGAAGGACGAAACGGCCTTTAAGTGTGCCCTGGTTTTCCAGCTTCAATTGACTAATGACCCCAACTACTGAAATTACAAAACTATGTGTCCAAAAACTTCCTCAACTGAAATTAAGTAGTTTTAATGTTTTGTTTGGTATTCTACTCCAGATTTCTTTACAGTAACCGAAATTATCTAGAACAATTAAGGTCAGCAAAACAACTATAATAAACAGATGCCTAGTCATAATCGTATGTTGAATATGGTTTGTATAAATGTGTCATTCGGTGCGAAATATGTGTGTTATGGCGTGTGAATGTTGAGTTTTTATTTAAATTTAGCTATCACATTATAGCTTTTGGCTTTAATCAGGACCAGATAAGTCGTTCACGAAGATGAAGATAATTCTGAATATGTTATGGCGCTTGTAAATTCTTTGGTGGTGATTTTTGTAACATATTTTTATCTTTGATAAATTCTACTTCCGTTGTCAGGTGGAACAGTAGAATTTATTTTTAATCGTAGAGATCTTTACACCTAAGAAACTGAAAGCGGTTGGTATTTTATACATAGCTTTGTCAATACAAATGAACCGCACAAGCAATATTCCGTAAAATAATAGACACAAATGGTTTTTAAGGATGCAAAGAACTTTCTCCAACTGTATTCGTATTTTCACATCATGGGGTGTGAAGTTATGTTAGAAAAATGTTTTGCCATTTACCCAGTCGATAATAAATACCATCATTGGATACTACAGAATGAATTTGCGAAATTAAGAAACAACTGACAGATTTTGTTTACATTAGTCAAACTCCCCGAACAAGCACCACAACAGATTAATTTGCAGATAATACTCCACACCATCACTTAGAGAAAAAATTTACAAGGAAACGTGATTTTGCAATCTGGTGGGAGGATATATTAGGGATAATAAAACGTGCAGGTCCCTATAGGTATCTAGTAACAAAATAGTGAACACTAAGATGGATTACATAAAAGGGGAATCGAAGCTGATTTAATAAAATCACCTCAATTTAAGAAAAACTGATCATCCTGAAACATACACGAGTGAATATGAAAATTGGTGCTTCTATCACGAAAATGAGTTCCAGAACACGGAATTTTATCAGCCATCCTTAGCCTGAAGGAGATATCCCTTTACAACAGCGAGAAATTCAAGAAACTAACTGTTAGTGACTGACAGATTCAACCGAACGTGAAACACAAGTGGGTAAAATGACTAGTCTTTTCCTTCTGTTTAGTGTAATAACACTTGAAATTGAAATGTCAGATGGTATATTTCTTCTATACACAATGTATGAGCTAAGATACTTAACTTTTACAGAAAAAGTAGATAAGATAAACGATACCTACGCCAAAAATGAAGTTCTAATCAATATTCTCTTCATATTAGTTTTTTCTACAGCGAATTTAATTTAGAAACATTATATTTTAAGGTTATATATATATATATATATATATATATATATATATATATATATATATATATATATATAATGTATATATTTGGGTCAATGATGCTAAGTAATGACAATAGATTTTCGAAATGTTTAATAGTTGCTTGTTTGAGCAAAATATGACAGGACCAATATGGTATTCCGAAATCTTCATAACAACTACCAAAATTCCTTACTATTTACATTTGATCGACGTCATAAAGGAGTCTTGAATGTTGCAATAATGTCGCATTTCCAACCTACCTCATAACTAAATCTCTCGATCTTACTTAATCATCAGATACATAATTACGCAGCGAACTTCAAAACGTAATCTGAACATTACGGCTTGAAATACCAACTTCCTACTCCTACTCAAGCAAATGAAACGAATCACATGCCGATCGAATGCTCACACCATAGAGCTCCAGCTCCGACTTATCATGGCACTAGCAAGTTTATAAAGTACACCAGTCACAAAGTGATTCACAAATCTTTCTCAGCTTCAACCGGTAAGTCACTGATGCAAACTACGCTTCATCTGGTTAGGATACCATTCCAAGCATTCATACAAAATGATGACTCAAAGCTGTTTTTGTATTGTGTAAGTTAGCCTGGTGATTATGTGCTTCTGAATTGCTGCATTCATTATCACCGGCTACTATGATCAACAGTGTGTTAATTTATGCACATTTTTTTTAATTGTCTAGTTATACATACCTAAGATTGCAGCCAGTTTGAGGTAGCAACATACACAGACAAGTTTCGTAGCTCAAAAAACTTATCACCAAGATCAACTTTGGAAGAACGACTACCGCCTCAGGGATCAGTAGTCATTTGAAGAGAAAGCAACAAACTAACTTAGCAGTTTTTAGCCATCACAACTAACGAAAGTTTTCAAATAGGTGTAAGGTACGTATAGATCAGTAATCTTGTCATTATTTCTGGTGATTGAATGATCACTAGAAATTTATTGGAGAAATCCAACTTGCAAAAAGCATACTACTGCGTTGATTAGACACAATTAAGTTCAAAATACATCACAAAAACCAAAACAATTAGCATCCTACTTCGTTATTGATGCTTGCTCTCTTAGAGTTTTCTCAACACTACGAACGTGGTTTTCTCTCTTGTACTCACATTGTAAATCACAATATATCTTGAGAGTTAAAAACTAACTATGATTTAAGTACCAATCGAGAGAGTAAAGCAATATTTACACTCAGAATCAATGAAGCCTCATATTATGTTTTACAAAGGTTACAAGCTGAACAGAGTAAGGACTTTGTCGGAACAGTACATAACATTTATATTTCCAGGAACTTACTCGTGCAAACCATTACAAAGTTGTATATGAGATAGCCTGCAATTTTATGTCAGATGATTAGACATATACTTTCAAAACGCCTGTGCCTAACAAAATTCGCCATATACTAACTAAAAATATTATTAAATAATAAATGTTAGAAAGGTCAAAATGAAGGCAAATGTGAAACTTCCCCCCATATATCATTTTCGACAAATTTCATAATCGAAAAAGATGAATAAATAGGAAATGCTTTAGAATAATTTAGATTTCACAGATCAACATGTAAGTTACAGAGACATGAAGAAATCTAGAGATATTTATACTATTTTTAAATCCCAACAAATTGGTGTGAACTAACAATATCAGTGTTGTGGGCCACCATGGATGAAATCAAGTGTGCAATCAAAGTGTACAAAATTTCTATCAGAAAAATGTGACTAAATTAAATCAGATTCGATTTGAAAGAGATACTGCTAAGTATTAACGACATTGACATTGTGAGTTCAGTTTGAAGAATAAAAACGGATAGAAAATAAAACGGAGACTATTGATTAGTCGGTCGAGTTATTTTTTTAGTTGCTGCCCCAGTCCCAGTCGCATTTGTTTTCTGTACATCCGCTGAAACTGGTTTGTTGGACTTCCCATTATCTACAGTCACTTTTGTATTGGGATCATTTACATTGGAGGAAGTTGTTCCGCATTTTGGAATGAGACGCTCTATCATTTCTTGTGCGTATCTCAATCTGTTTGCTAAGTCCTTACTTAAACCGAATTCCCGTAGATGTTTGAAGCGGTACGTTCTGAATTCCCTGTTGGCATCAATATAAGTTACGGCACGCATTAAAGGACATAGAATGATTTTTGCATGATCATCAAAGAAGTTTATCTAAAAGACAGTGTGTAAAATAAAGTAATGTTAGTTTTAAGAAACAATCCCAACGAGTTTGACGATGATGAAGACATAAGACAATAGAAAATTACGACTCCCGAAGCTTTTTAAATAAAACATGACTATATTTCACAATGCGTACGACACACTGATGCTAAACATAATCCGGTAAAATATACGAAAATCGACGAATGCAGCAAACTGTAGACTGTTCTATATGAATGTCTTTTGATTGTGTTGAGAAATCCTTTTCTTAACGAAATTTGAGCAAAACATGTTACATCAATGCATTTAGCGCCTAAACGAAAACTGAAATGGTCTTCGTGAGTCATATTTTCAGGTATTCTACAAGTGTTCAGGTGTTGGTTGCATGATTTATGTACAGCTTCACAAAAGATGTGTGCAGCAACCATTTAATTTCAAAACCATATAAAATTGAATAACAATTTTCGAAGTTTGTCGTTGCACAATAATTCTTGTAATTTACCTTACTCCGCAGAACCTAACTTTTCAAACGTTTCCAACCAATAAACGATGTTCTAAATAATCGAATATACCAATATAGCTTTTCTTTATTCATGTCATAAACCGACAATCTCTGAACTATTTGTTTACCTAAATCATCGGCAAATAAATGAATAACATGTCAGCCTACTTCGGTCACCTACCACAGTGAGACTACGCATGCTAACGTTTTGTGCATTAAATATTCAGGTCAGAGCATCAGTGTCTATATATAAGTATACACTATAGTGAAGGTTAGCATGTAATATTACAAAATTTACAATGATAAGTGATGAAGAAACAAATTTTGAACTGAGGATCACAAGGTGGTTTTGCTAAGACATATGGTCAAATAACATTTAACTGAGACGGCATTAGCAAGTATTTAATTGAGTTTTTGCACAATGCGATGAGAATGTGCTATGGCAACCAATGTGGAGTTGAATTAAAGAACTTAATTTGAAAACATAATAAAACTGAAAAGAAAATATCTGAGGTTTCTTCTATGCTACTGGTTTTATTGATAAATTTAGGCAAAGCAAGAATAAAAATATTACCAAGATACGATGAATTCACTCAAAAACCATGGTTACAATGGAACACAATGGATTCGTTTAATTCAACCGGCTATGCTGTGGTATAGAGAGGAAAAGCTGATCACATAACTTCTAATCATACCTGTATCTAATTGGCTTGCTACTGAACTGTTGTTGTGAATATAGTAAAGTAGTGATCCATTTGCTTAGAGAATTCGACTTACAATAGATTATAGTCTTAAGAGGACTCGAGTCATTTTATTTACGATATTCCAGTAGGATTCCCACAAAACACAGGACTTAATAACTCACAAAGAGCCACTACTTTGTCACTATTCAACACGTCGTGCTGTTAAGGTATGGTAACTTTGGCTAGCGTACACTTCTTCCAGGGTGTACGTCGATGATGACTGACTGACTAATTAACTTTTCCATTAAGTTCAAAAATATTTATGTATACCTCTCTACAATCCCCTAACTCGAAACAGGTACTTTGATATAATAACAATGTACATAAGAACAAATTATGTAGAAATGATAGGATGATCATCCTATCAAAAATGAAAACTTTGACTCGTGTTATTTATTGATATTAGTGATATTTAAACTCACTTGCAACGTTCCATTACTTAAATGAAGTACAATAGCCGAGCGTGTTCTAAACCATCGGCGAAGAAAAGGTAGACGAGTCATGGCATCAGTGTCCGGTCGCGCAATATTCTCACCAGCCTGTGTTAATTTAGAAGCATACCAAAATAATTAAATAATCAAAACTAATAACTAATAATCGTGTCAATCAATCCTTAGGACTGAATTGTTTTAAAAATTTGGTTTAAAGAGTGATGAATGTACACCGCAGTTTATTTAGAACAGAAAATAACAGACGAAATCAACCCGTTTAGTAACTAATAGTAAGTAATTCCGAATTCTCTCAAGACTGCTGAGATTATTCACAATGCAATACCCTTTTAACCACGCAATGGAATGAAGTTAGGGTTGACTGTATTTGTTTGATCTCTAAATACAAGATATGTTTGACAGAAATCAGAGTTAATCAACTACGCATCAACGGAACATTCATGGAGTTTAAATAAGACTTTTTGTCAAGAACTAATCATAACAGTGGAAACTTGAAGATCATGTGTCAAGTAACTGAGAAATCGGGGTTTTCGGGAAAACATTGTTAGTTTAGTGTTTTCCTGAGAACCAAATGACAAACTAGACATCTTGACAAATCAATATTTTAAGCAGCTTGACATGTACGCAGAAAAAAGGTATTTGGTACATGATAAATAATGATGAAATTGTTTTAATCCCCTACTTTCTGTATTGTAAGACAAGATAATCATTACTCTGTACTCTGAACAATGACTTTGATGCGGATGCCTTACTCCTGGGAGTGATCAACTTGCATTTTAGATTGGAGAGGATGAGGTATTTTATTCATGACTATCTTATATGAGCATCCAGGTGCCACGTAAATTGACTGGGAAAAGCTGAATGGATGAAGACGGAACTATTATGTCAGTCAGTCAGTAGCAACGTAGAACCTGGTACGTATGTACATCGGTTCAAGCTGCCGTACACCATTAGCACAGAGATGAAATTCTTAAAGCGAATTCCCGAGTAATGGAGGTAACAACAGCACTAGTAGTAATAGAAAAGACAAGACATCGAAGACACGATTCAAAAAAATATGACGGACATTACCACAGAACCTCAAGATCAACAGTCAAACGCTGTATTAAGGTAGAAAAAATACAACTATTGTCAGACGTCAAAAAGCATGCCTACTTTCGAGAACTTGTTGAAGGGCGAGTCTCTGGTCTATACATCCACATCCAGGTCTGAAACTAACTTGGTTTACTCCGGTTTGTTCTTTACGAGCTCTAGTTGGGCATCGAAGTATTATTGAGGCCAATAGTTTAAATGCTACTAACTAGACTGATTCTTTCGATTGTCTGAAAAGGATCTTTGTCTTTTCTTACAGAGTGAGACTATCAGCGACAGAGACTGGTCAGATATGATTGCGCCCAGCTCTCATGTCCTAGCTAAGAACTCAACTAATATAACTGCTACAATTGGACCATCATCCTTAAACACCTCAGTGGTTAGTTGATAGAGCCCTAGTGCTCTCTCTCTTGCTTTAGATTGCTAATAGCTTTCCTAGACTTAATAAGAGTTGAAAGACTCACATTCAGGTTACCTGGGTATAGTGAGCAATCGACGTGTCTAAGAGTCAGTTGAACTGTCCCCTAGTGTTCTGACTAATAGTTCAACCCTCTGAACCGAGAGTGAATAATAGACGTTTTTTGGGAGTAGCCTAACCAACAGCCGGACTTTTAATGCCCGTTTTCTTGATATCTAAACAGTTGTTTACTTTTACCTATCGCTGCTGCTTTTGCTACCCACTACCACTTACGATCATTGTGTAGGCTTTTATCAGTCTACGTTTAGCCTACTTCCGCCAGAAGAGATATTTCTGATCATCTACCGGTTCAGTAGACGTCACTGAAATTCACTAAGCTTTCTTTTAACCTTTCGACTACGGGTAGACATCACTGCTATTTCCACAGCTACTCGGACATTGTCCCACGCTACCTCGGAATGGATACCACTTACATGGTTGACTAATTCTTCTAGTGGTTCCTGAAATATATTTCTGACTTTTATGTCATTAAGATGTTGTGGTCTTTTTACGTCCAGTAAGAGACAAATATGCGCGTATACTAGAGAATGATCTGGGTTTAAACATGTGCTTTAGAATGAGTGTCAGTCTTTTATCGAACCTCACTAACAATAACTGATGGCGATTCGGTTTGTCCATCTTCAATTTAATTGTGATCATCACATTAGACGATATTTCCCTTATGATTAAAGTTGGTGCCCGCTAGAAGTAAACGGTAATATGAACACATTTGCAACAGACGGTTGCCATTATTGGTTCGCTGAGCCACAACATTATAAGATACACATAAGTGCCTTTTGTTATGGTTTAGTCTACCTACTTGGGCGTTCAAATCACCTGCCAATATTACTAAACTTGAGCGTTTAGATTTTCGAAGGAGGTTGGGAAGCTTCCCATAAAATTAATCTTTTACTTCATTTGAGCTGCAATCAGTGAGTGTAGAGAGAGACAACGAAGGGCAATGGCGCGTCCCTGTTCTTCTCAGTTCTTACTGTCCCGTTCAGTTGGACACTGAACCTGTTTTGCTCTAGAACTTAATGCTGCTATGTCTACACTAGAGGCTACAGAGTGACAGTGGGGTCTCCAGACACTGGGAGAATAGGTCACACTAACTTTTATATTGACAATGTGAGGTCGGATGAATGATTGTACTTGGATCCTGTATGCGCATTTCGAAATATGTCGACGGCCCATTATAATGACCCAGCTAAGGAGGCCTGTTGTCCTATCTGATACAAGGTTTGAATATTAAAAGCTCCAACATACAGTTTAGAACGTGTCTTCATGAGACCAATAACATTCCGTGAACTCGAATTATTAGGATTGGCGGCGCGTGTTGATGAAGGTATACGAAAAGGGTTGGTATTGAAGACAGAACTATTAAAGGGTGAGATGGAATTGATCGTGAACAAGATGATGTCGAATGCCGTTATACGTATGAGGGTGGATGTAATTGTTTTGAACTTTGTACACGTCCTCTAGAAAAGCATAACAGTCAAATAAGTGGTTAGGTAGACCGAAATAGATAGCCACGGTGCAGAAACATTATTTCTTAATCGTTCGATAAGTAAAGAACATAACAAATTGTAATTCTATTATCCGCTTTTAATTGTTTTTCTCGCCTTTTCCACTGCTCTTGATGCCATTTATTATTATTATTATTATTATTATTATTATTATTATTATTATTATTATTATTATTCGTTTGATCTTGATTTCTCAACGAGTTCTCGACCCTAGTGACTGATTATGTCTAAAGGATTTCAATGATTTCGTCAACGTAGATTTCTAAATACTTTTAAAACCTAACACTATCGAAGACACGATTTTTCCTGATCTTTATTGGAATATGCAAACAGAAAGCGTTAAACTAATTTATAGAAAGGTCTTTTCTCTAGGAAAACGACGATAATATATACAACCAAGTTATTGTTCAGAAAGTATAGGTCGGTTTAGACATACTGTGAGCAAATAACCTGACGAACTCTATTAGTAATCTAGTAACAATTCGTCAGGTAACTAGTGTGAACAAGGAAACTTGTAAACTAAACGTCGACCGGCACATACATTTAGAGACGTGACAGAAACTCTTCACTGACGGACTCATGTCACTACTCAGTCTAGCAATTTTAAGAGCTGAAGAATATACAGATAAACTACTATTCGATGCGGAGATAATGTTTCAAAAACTTCCAAATGAACCAGCAAACTGCCAAATTTGGTTAGACACCGATAATCGCGTGATTCGTTTGTTACTATACATCCATTTGATGTACCTGCAACACCTGCTCATCCATATGTTTGAAAAAATTAAAGTTCTGCGGTTTAACAAAGAGGCGTTTGTGTACTCAGCTTCGAGCAATCGGTTTTACTAAATCAAGTTAGTACAGTTCGATTCAGCATCATTAGAGCTGAAATCTTCCGACCACTGAGAGCACGATTTTATTTTATTCAAACTGGTACAAGAGGGAACTAAAATATATATGCGCCACACTAAGTAGTTATTATTTAATGTGTCTGGGTTGGGATATTGCCCAAACGCTCAGGCCGAAACGTGGTCTTCTTAGGGGACCACTCGTTGAGCCTTTGACCTGGGGGTCTAACGGTGGAGAAACGTTAATACGTCAAGTCCCACGATGACCAGGAGCAGGCTCATACATCTCTTTTTTCTACGGACCCTGGAGATAATGTGAACCACTACTTTGTAATAAGAGTTTCCCAACTCCCCCAGAATGGGTCCTCCGTACCCAACAACCGAGTTCAGGCGTCGAACATTCGCTTATCGTTTTCCTGATTTGGTAAACACCGCCATTAGAAGTCAGTAAGTAGGACTTCCCTGGGGATAGCTATATACGCGTGGCCGTATGAGAGAATTTTTAGTGGACCCTTCACAGCCTTGGTCGTACTAGGGCATTTAAGAGGGCATAGAGCACTGAAAGCAGGGAAACCCAGCAACATGAACCGGTGAGCACATTTTTTGTGTATGTAGCTTTGAACGGTAGTTTTTGAGAGAAAATATTATGGAACATTGCAATTAAGATGAAAAATACGTACATTCCGTTTAAAATCCCTACCCCACCAACATATACTGAAGGCCGGTAACTACTTAAGACATTAAATTATTCCTATTTAATGTCTTACATCAACTCGTCGCTCAAATACTGTGAAACTATTTGCTCTAATTTAGACGAAAGTTCTTATATACGGTAACTACTTAGCTCAAAAAATATGATATCAACATCCTATGGAAAAAACGCACTAAACTAAATTACAGTCCTGCATAAATGGGTACAAGTGACGAAACGAGCAGACCAAAAGCTTACCTTAAGGAGATTCTGGTGCATATATGCTTTGAAGCATGTGAGAAGTGTCACTTTTTTTGACAGATATTCCGGATGCTTTGACAGAGTGAACAAACGTTCAGTCCCATGTTCGTCGATGTACTGAAGATTCTGTTCATTGGTTGTTAAAAGGAGTCTTGTCACGTCATTGAATACGACACCATATGAGTTATCACACAACTGATACCCCAAACCATATTTATCTGAATAGTCAACCCACTTGCTGACCCAGTATATTGGACAGGCTGCTGGAACTTCACTTTCTTCCATTGCTTTTGGTGAAGAGTCATCAAATTCCTTGGGTTCCTCTAATACACGACCTAACTGAAACGCACTAGATTATTGAAAATGTATGACTCACTTTGTGCTTAAGTAACCCAAGCCAGCAGTCATCTGGCTGAACGGCTTTATCAACTGCAGCACCGCCGACATTACCAAGGGCACCACCGCCACTGGTAATAGGAACATCCTCAACCGGGTTGATGTCAGACAATGGGCGACGTCCGGTTTGAGGTCGATGCATAGTATCAAATCTGGGGCACGTTGAAAGACAGCTCACAGGAAGACCATTAGGTGTAAAGTCTTTAAAGAAATCATGGTCGAGTACATTGAACATATTTGGTCTTCTTTCCGGATCGGCATGTAAAAGTGAGCGGATGAGCATTGAGGCATTCGTTGACACACGAATCGGAATGCGGTACTCATTTTGTTTAATGCGTGCATACGTTTCTTCCAGTTTCGTAGTTTCAAAAGGAGGACTCCCGACTAGAAGAGTATAACTAAAGAATTAGAATGAAAGCACAAACAACATACAGTATACAACCAAGAGACCATGAGTCTACTTCGAAGCTGTGTCCACCTTTACTCAAAATTTCGGGAGCAATATAGTTGGGAGTACCACACAACGTTTTTTTCTTCTCACCCTCATGACTGATCCTCGAGGCAAGCCCGAAGTCTCCTATTTTTATTTTTAGGTTGTCGTCGAGGAAAAGGTTGGCCAGCTTAAGATCTCTATGCATGACCTTATTTTGATGAAGGTATTGACAGCCATGGACAATTTGTTTCATAAAATACCTGGCCTCTGGTTCAGTGACATACTTCCTTCGCTTATGTAACTCTAAAAGCGACTGTTTCAATGACCTAAGTGATGAGATAATCTTACTCTGCGGTTACAAAGTTCAAGCAAAATGTATATGAATTCACTATCCTCGAAATTTCCATAGAATCTCACGACATTTTCATGTTTTAGAGAACGATGAATACTGATCTCTTGGCGCATTTTTTCTTTTTGGGATTCTTTGACCAGAGCTGCCTTGTTAATAACTTTACCGGCGTACTTTTCCCCTGTTTTTTTATCAACAAGTTCATAGCATTTTGCGAATCCTCCCTGAAAAGACAATGCTTAAAAACCAATAAATACCTTCCCCAAAAACCGTCCACGGAGAAACTCTCGTTTTCTTGTAACATCTACTATAACTTCAGGAGGATCCTTTGGCTTGGCCGAGTCGTTCGCAGCCATTAAATATAACTCGGCACCTTCGAAGTCAAAGTCACAAAACCGCGCTTCGTAAGTGTACAGAGTTTATGAGCAACACAACAAATATGATGTCCAACGTTCATCAATCATTCAAACTTATCTGATAGAAATTGTCATTCGCTATTCCCTTAAGGTCCACTCTCGAATTATAAAAGAGAGATTTGCGTTACTTATAGCTTATATTTACTCAGGAGTCAGGGTAAAATATTGATGTAAACAGTATATTGAACGAACGAAGTTCAAATGACCCAAATGGTTGTGGACGATATATGATAAGCTGTCATGTAACAGGATTCTCTGTCTAGCAACAGTTGATCACGGATAAGAATATATTGTTTAATTTTGAAGTTATATCGTGAAATCGCTTGGACCACTGCATGCAGTTTTACCTCTACCTTCTTGATTTTGCACCGAAGTTTTGTGTTGGAACCGAGCTTAGATGGGTATTTTAGAGGGTTCCCAGGTGCATTTAAAATAATATATGTCATTAAAACATGATTTCTGGGTCGTCCGTTGTAGTGGACTCAGAGATTTTACTTTTTCCTTATAAAGTTTAAATTTGAGTCTATGACTGATTTCGCGACTCATCTTTGAAAACGTTCTAAAGTATTCTTATCCTTTTGGAGTGAAGCAGGAAACATTATGCTTTATCACTATAAATGTGGCCGAACAGAATAGTCGATAATATGATCGGAGGCTTCGTTATCAAACTGAACAAAGATCTTTCTTTAATTTACTAGTGTCTCAGAGAAAGACTTTAGAACATGGGTTATCAAAGCTCCTAGATGATTTTGAAAATCAGACATCTCTAGACGGGACAATCTAGGCTGCACATGCATTTTGCAATACGGCTCTAGTAAAAGGCTCTATGCTTTTCGGGGTTTGAGGAAGCAGTACTGCTGTTTTCCGAACTTTGAAGTCAAGTCGGATCCTTCAAAAGTTCTAGCTCATCGTTATAGTCGCGAACTGTCCAAAGTTTGACATCGTTAGCAAACGACAAAACATTAGACAATATGTTATATCCGGACGAACATTAAGTGGATGGTAACTGCTAGGATCTATTTATGAATCTTTACCACATACATTCTTGTTGTATAACCATTTAGTAACGCTGTTATGTGTATATTCGCATTCCTTTTATTTTAGGCTTCCAGTTGATTTGCGATTTCCCACTATTAAGTTATTCCCAATTTATTAGTTAGTTGTTGTTTTCTATCCTATGATATGGTGCGGTCTGATTTGCTTGTATATAAACTACGTATGCCTGAATTGCATGAAGCTGCTCTCTGCATTGAGACTGGCAGGATAGACTGAACGGCCAATCAGGACTCAGGGTTGATTCTAGGCTGCTTGTACTGGTTTATGCATCGTTGATCTGGTAATATAAGTCCGTGATTCTAATTGGCAATTTAATCACGTGATAAATTAACAAGCCATAGGGACATAACACAATACTTTATGGAGAAGGTCGTTCATATAAATTGGAAAGGTAAGAAACCCTATCACTGAATCCCGAAAGACTCCACTAGGACATTCTGTTGCCCGAGAAAATACAAAGTCTACCCTGACCTCAAAAAGCATTATCTAATTACGACTTATACCAGTCTGTCAATGATGACTTGATACCTATCAGCTTCAGCTCATTGATATGGCATATATATGAACCTATAAGAAGTTTATGGGAAATCGAGTGATACTGTCATCACCCCTTGTGATTAAGGACTAGTGGTGCGGCAGTGGCAATTTTAAAAACCGTGTTAAGGTTATCTTATTATCGAGGACTCCATACTCTTCGAGAATACCCGCGAAACTTAAAAGTGGTAACGTTTTTTCACGTGTTTTAGAAATTCCTCGCCTTGTTCTTCTGTAGGCTGTATTATACTGAGATTATCGTCCTATCTTACATTTCGAGTAGATTTTAACCCAGGAAAATAATTTCGACGGACAATTGCCAGTTAATACATACATATCGCGGACTTCGTTTTCTGAATATCTTACATAAGCCCCCAGCGATTGACATTAATGCGTTTTTATCCTTGGATTACACTGATTGAAATATAGATAATCCATTGATCGGTACTCTCTTACGTCACAAGTGGACACCATATACCTGACATACGTTACATACTCATAGCCTCTGATCCTGGTATTAACCCAGTTATTACTTAGTAATAAATATATACCCAGATATAATATTTCAGTTAGACAAGCTCTTTACTCACCCAGCATCAAATTATGGCAAGTAACTCTAGTAAAAGAGAAAGCTCACCAACATTCAAGCCAGCTAAAGGGTTAAAGTCCGTTACCTCTATGACTGACGATTCAGTTCCTGACAATGATAAACCTTTATCTTCTGAACCATGTGCGGCTTATCCACAAATGTCACTATCTGATTCTTCATATAACAACCCCGCCATCTCTTTGTGCAGTATGCCAACGGTAAGACTACTTGACATAAATGGCAAAATACCCACGTGCATCGAGAAGTCAACACAGTCTATCCAAAATTTCAAAAACCAGGGATTCTAACAGTTCATCTCTCACTTACGAAGATGCTGATCGATATAGTACTGATATTCGTCGGTTACAAAAACCCTCCAACCGAAATTAACGGTGAACTTAACCAATTAGCACCCCTCACACACGTATGGATTATTAGTACTGATAAAAATCTTGAACGACTCACTAAAGCTGTGTATTTTGGAGTTTGTGGCTGAAGAAGTGACGGAAAGTGATGTCTTCCCACAATACAGTTGCATACAATCCCCCTGATCGCACACACTCAAGTAAGTTAAGGGGTATTTGCATTACAGCATGCGGCACGCTGAACGTCAACTGTCAAGTCATCCGCCTTAGAAAAAAGTCGGATAGATTAACTTGCCCACTCTCGTTTAAGTTTAGCTGTTGTAACGATGCTAAACAATTTATTGATTCCTGCAAAATATTAGCTCATTAGTTCCTTACAAGAGCATAAAAGTCACTTCTGATCTAACACCCTGTTAACGTCGTATAAGAAGACGTGAAGCAATATGATTGCATGATAGTGTTACAGCGAATAACCAGCTAGTGACAGTTCACAACACAGTAAATAGATTAAAGCGCATGAACAGTTAGCATGACGTCATTCCACAAACGGCAGATCACTTTGTAGATCTAGATGAGTCTACAGACCAAAAACCTTTGGATAATATACGGATTGCAGCCGTCACCCAAAAACATAACGGCATTTCTAATCACGGCTGTTCGCTCAGTAAAGTACTAAAATGTGAGCCGTATGGCGACACACATCCAGCTAAACTTATTCATTTGAAAATTAGACCTCTTCAAGATGCTCCACAAGACAACGAAACTCTGCAACCCTGACAAGAAAGGTTGGGGAGGCAAAATCCACGATATCGAGTGGGGAAACAGGTAAGATTGAGACCAACCTTTTTACGCACAGACTAACAAAAACTACGAGACTACTGATCATTCTACTCACCCTCTTAAGGCCAAAACCATTATTAAGCATGGTAATTATAGGTTCCTCACCCCACACCCTATCTACATCCCCCAGGATCCCAACTGTAATTACTCTCAGAAAAAAAAACTTTCCACACCTTTCAGCACCAACCAATCGCACAAAAGCGGATTCCATGTAAAATAACAGTCTCAACTACTTTCAGCTACGTACAGCAGATCCTACTCACGCTCACACTAATGTTAAACAGCTATAGCAGAGGCTACGAGCGTAACCATAAAGACTATTTTGGGAATAACAGTACACTTCACAGTCGGCCTGTATCAGATTTTTTTGGGAATACGGCCCCTGGTGGCACCTCTGTTGAAGCATATCGCTCAAGTTATTTAGAACCACATGCGGAACATAAACTTGCTTCCCCCGTATATTTTCCATCAAGGAGTACTTCCACCCTTACCTCCTGGATAAACTCCTCAAGTAACTTCACCAGCTCATTCGATACATCTCCCACTAACTCTAACTATCCAAATACAGAGCTACTGAAGAACATTCAATCCCTCACTTCAAACCCGTATCACACCCGAGAGTGTTATGATAACTTTAATCGAGATACTCTCACTCATTTTAACTCAGTAGGCCATTCGTTTAACATGTGTCTTATCAACGCTAGGCCGACCTGCAATAAGAAGACTGATTTAGCTCTGTTTGTATTCGTACAACAATCATCGCTTATGATGATATATGAAGCATGGGCTAACAGTAATATTTCTGACCTAAGTATATTTCTTGATAACTTTTTCATATATAGAATTGAAAGATTGAAAGGACGAGGTGAAGGGTGCCTTATTTACGCTCATTCTAGCCTAAAATCACTAATATGTGATATGTCTGAACTAAGCAAATTCAGGGCTCAATGCGGATTGTTTTAAAGCCTTCGAATTCCATTTTCTAACTGTTCGACTGTGTCTGCCGTCAACGTAACGCATCACTAAGTGAAAGAGAAATGTTGTCAGAGGTATTCACACTAGCATCATCCCTTCCATTCACGATCAAGCTTATTTATGGTGCCTTCAACATGCCTGAAATCCCTTGGTTTTCAGTCAAGGCGCCGAAACCTTATGAATCATTTACCGAATTCTAGAACAAGGACAGTGGAGTCAGTATGTCAGAAGCCCTACCGGACACCAAAATTTCTTGGACTTAGTCTTTACCAGTGGCCTCACCCCCAATACTATGTATGATGGAAAACATTTTTCAGATGGCGATCATAGCATTGTCATTTGTAGCCTTAATATAAAAACCACAACCAGTAGATGCAGAACTGTCACAGTTCGTAGAAACTATTGCTAGGTTGATTGGAATAACTTCCACAATTACCTAAGAATCACTGATTGGGGAACGTTCTTTACTGTAAACAGTAATAACTCTATCGCAATATCATAAATATCTTCAACAAAATCGTACCTTTAGAACACTGGAAACCTAAGTTCTCTAAAGATCTGTATGCACTGGTCTCTACGTGAAGACGTCTTCAAAGACATTTCACTTGATTCCACAACCCTAATGACTTTTCCTTTTTAGTTACGATGACAGGAATACTTGTCCGAACAGGGGCAATACGTACACAAAAACATTGGAACGGGAAAAACGTGCTGTTGAACTTAATAATAACTCCTCTGCACTCACCATACTCTTTCAATATAGACTCAAATGTTCTAAACCGAGAGGGAACATGTTTAGTAAAGACAAACGAGTATAAGAAAATCCAAAACTTGTTACGGAACTATTTAGTGAACACTTTTTTTCTTCATCAACTGATGAAAAACCGCTAAATGATTCTGAAGTAATCCTAGCACCTCCATGAGATTGCTAATGAAGACTTCAATGTACGAAATATCTCTAAGGCAATTAGCACATTGGGGCACACATACACTGATGCACCAGATGGCATTCCGGCTAGCATGCTAAAATGTGGAGGTGATGATACATGTGCTTTACTTCTCAAACTGTTTGCGATATCACTCTCTACAGCGTGATACCTTACTGCCTGGAAAACTACACAGATAATTCCCAAAATTAAAAAAGGACCTGAAGCAAATGTTGAAAATTACCGACCCATAAACATAACTTAAGTAATAATAACAATAATTTATTCTCAAATAACAGATTGTTACATGAGGCATGCCAGTTTACAGGCAAGATCAAATTGTTAAAGAAGTTACAATTTTCACTGCTGAAAATTTCTCAGCTGGGTTGATATTTCATAAGATATGAATGTAAATGGATTTCGCAAGAAACATATCAATACCACACTTGGCGTACTTTATGGAGGTAGCGTTGCAACATACAACTGATAGTCGAGAATAGATACATGCGAAGTTGAGGGCTTTTAGAAGTTTCGAACTTATATCCCTCCAGTGGTGTTTAGAGTGATGGAAAAAGTAGTTAAGGCGGCGGTAGTCCAACATCTGATTACTAATAATCTCATCTCGGTCTCCCAGCATGGATTTCTTGGGTCCAGATCATGTGATACATGCCTAGTAGACTACATGAATGATATAACTTTGAAACAAAACAACGGACTCCTTATATCAGTCATGTTTTTAGACTTTAAGAAAGCTTTTGGTAAGGTCGCACGCAAAAAGCTTCTAGTCCTTCGGAATCAACAACTCACTCTATTCATGGTCTGTATCATCCTTAACAGAACGTAAACAAATGGTAAAGTACAGCGACTGTCTCTCATCACCTAGACTAATAACTGGTGGAGTCATCCAGAGAAGTGTATTAGGCCCACTCTTGTTTCTCATGTATATAAACTATATATATAACATCATAAAATTTGAGAAACCCTACTTATATGCTGATGCTCTGGAAATAGTATACATTTATAAGCCTGAAGTGAAAGTGTATCGCTGATTCAAGATGACTTCAATAACCTTTTTATCTGAAGCAAAATATGACAATTGCCATTTAACCTCAACAAGTTCGGGATCATGTATTTTGAGAAGTATCCCTACGAACTACATCTTTACTTAAATAAAAGTAGAGTCGAGACACTTAAATCAGTTCACGATTTAGGAATTAACTATACAGGAAGCCTAAACTTTGAAGAACATGCCTCCTTTATTATTTCTAAATCTAGATGGCTAATTTGTTGTCTCCACTTACATCTGTAAAACTATGTTTACTCGTGGTCGTATAGAGGTTTAAAAAACTCCAAGATGGTCGTGGTAGATTCTAATGACACGGACCGTTGGAGTGTATTAATTTAAGAAAACAAACCTTTCAATGTTCAATCTGGGTTGATATGAAATAAGTCTACAAAAAGGTATAAAGTAAATAAATACATTAGCTGTGCTGTTTTAATCTCAATAGGATGTTCTCGCCTGACTCTTAATCATCCAACTTGAGCTTTTGAAGATCCGCGGATTCACCTGCTTCTGTGGATCAAGAAATTTGGGCTATGGCTAGTGCTGAATTTCAAATCGGATACGAGTGTGGCTCCATAGAGGAGCCACACTCGTATCTCGGTTGCTTAAATTTCTGAGAGCTCTCTTTGATAGTCAAGTCTAAATGGTAGAAAAAAATAAGACATATAAATACTAAAATTTAACAATTAAACATGCATTACGCAAGATGGTAGTTTTACCTTGGTCTACAGTCTTTTTACTACCTGAATAGAAAAGCTTAGTCCTGTGACACAACCACACAGAAACCAAGAACCTTGGTGGACCAAAGAGAATTCTGCCCAACCTCGGATACATCGGGAAATTCGATCAGTTTTCACTGGTTTTATTTTCATCTAGAATGGATGTGTATTACGCTGTCGAAGTTTTAGAAATATGCGGATAATTCTAACTTATTTTTGGTTTCATTGTAGAGAAGCTGACAGTCAACTCTCCTTAGAATCCGGTTCCAGTTGTAAAGCTATTGTTGCTTGAAAATTTTTAAAAGCGTTCAATTATGAAAATTCGTAATGGACTGGTTTTGACAGCTTTAGCATCTCAAATATCATCGGGATTCAATGAATCATCAAAAAAACATAGGCCTCGTTAACATCAATATCATCGGCAGGACTCATCTTATATTACGAACTACATTAGTCGTGCACAAAAAATGGTGTACACGTTCAAGGTAAGTTAAACTTTACAATCTTCTGTACATCTCATACTTTAGGAAAAGATGGGTTGTCCTGGTATGTCTGTCTGTGTTTCGTTATCAGGGAAGATTATTTATCAAGAAGGTTAGTTATTAGTTAATGTTATCATAAGGAAGTATCACATACTTTTACTGTTTTGTGAAATCGTATTTTAAATATGATTTTAGATAATCTAATGTTTATGCACTTTTTGAAGGTGTTGGATATGCCAATGTTGAGCATATGGTACCAGTAAATGAAAATACAGTATTCCGAATAGCGAGTATTAGTAAGCCGTTTACATCATTATTGGTTGGAAGATTATTGGACCAACACAAGTTAGATCTTGACGAAGATATCTGGTCCTATTTACCTGAGTTTCCGGAGAAAATAGTCAATGAAACATATGTACGTAAATATTACTTAAATATTTTCATTATCTAAATGTAACTAACATATTTTTTTAAAAACTTTATCACTTAAATCCTTCATATATTAGTCCATTTAAAACATATGTACCTTAAATGATGGTAATTTAACAAGCAATAGAAACAACATAGAAAGTGGCATAATGACATACATTTATTCAAGCTGCCACAATTCACAGCATTGAAATGTGTTATGACTTTACCTAGCCGTCGCCAATTTGTCATGTTTTTGACCTAGACTGTAGCCAATTGTTATGACTTGATCAAGGTCGTCGCTGATTCGTTATGACCTTACGAATTTAACAAGGACGTAATTCTCGTAAATGATCCACCAATAGAATACGCCTTCTACGACCTTCACACTGTGACAATGACGTTCGATTAATATGAGTAATCTAGCGTCCTTATTGGTCCTTATCCGCCTACCCGTCCACTTGAGTCCAGAACACCAATAGCAGCTGCTGTAATGCGAATCGTTTATTTCAAGCATACTTTATCTATATACCAGACAGGCAGACCACACCACACCATAAAATAGAAAATAATATTTGTACAAAACCAGGCCAAATGAAGCTGTAAGCGTGGGAGACAATAATCAATAAAACTGAGCATAACGTAGGGACAGTAAATCATATAGTAATAATCAATAGGTCAAAATGAAGCTAGTAATAAGATGAATATAGATATAGATAGTCCAGTTACTGAATAGTTATACCATAGGAATATAAATAGATTAATAGTCTAATAAGAGGTCCCGTAAGTTATCAGTACTTACTTTTTCCTAGTATATAACACCTCCCCTTTTTTGAAGCATCATGGATAATAGCGATCCTTGGGATTTATTTTTATACGATTAGGTTTCCGCCTGATGCGCTGCGACCGCCTTGGGAGTGTTGTACACGTCTTCTTTTTATTCGGGTCCTTTTTAATTTCATTATCCGACTCGGTTAATATATTTAATGGTATATCATGCTTTCTATCACTTTCTATCTCCCACTCCTGTCTGGTCGGCTGTATCTGGTTTGCATGTCGTACCCATATCTTTTGTCCAACTTTCACTTCATAAATAACTTTCCCTTTTCTTCGGACTATGATGCCAAATTTCCAGGTTGGCTTTACTCCCTGGAAATCTCTTGCCATTACTGCTTGTCCTACATTAAACCTTCTGGGTAAGGCACCATGCCTTTTGTTAAATTGCAGTTCCATTCGTTTATTCTTGCATTGAATGACTTCAGGTTTTGGCTTCATTTGTTCCATAGGCATTCTAATCTTTCTTCCAAAAATTACTTCTGCCGGAAAATTGCTGGAGCTGGTTTTACGCCAAAAGGTAATCGGCTAAACTGGTAAAGTCCACGGTGGGTATTAATGGTTAATAACTCCCTCGAATCTTCGTCAACTTCTACTTGTAAGTAAGCTTCAGATAGATCGAGTTTGGAAAAGTAACGTCCACCGTTTAGTTTAATAAATAAATCTTCTGGCAAGGGAAGTGGATATGAGTGATTTTGTAAAGCATCGTTTAATCCTGTTGAAAAGTCTACACACAAGCGAATAGTTCCGTTTGCTTTCTGCACTACTACTATTGGTGCTGCCCATGCTGAATAATTAACCGGTTGTATAACACCCAGTTTCTCTAATCGATCTAATTCCTTGTCAACTTTATCGGTGGCTGCATACGGGACTTGGCGTTTTGGACAAAAAACAGGTTTGACGTCCTGTCGTAAATATAACTTTGCCTTTCCAATGGTACAGCATCCCAATTTATTCTGGAACAACTTCTTGTGTTTCTGTAAGAGGTCTTCTATCGTTATGGCTTTCTTAGCTACATGAACCATGGGTAGATCTCTGGGACTATTTGTGCACTTCATCATGCATATTTCACTCAATGGTACATCCCATAGGTTTAGTTTATCTATCCAATCTATTCCAATAAGGTCTAAGTCATGTCTGTTCGTTAAATAACAATTCCCTGTGAAGTAGTTATCTCGAAATTCAACAGAGCATTTTATAATTCCAACAAGCTTTAATATATCTCCGGATGCATTTCGTGCAGTATGCTCAGTAGGTAATACTTGTGGACAACCAATTAAATTCCATGTTCGTTTAGAGATCAATGTGATATCTGACGCTGTATCCAATTGTAATCGGACATGAACACCATTAACCAATAATTCCACATACCTTCTTTTATCTGCCATACTTAAAGCTCGTGTAGAATATATACTGTTAATATATTTGTTTTGAAACTGGTGCGGACGCTTCGTAGGCTTTGATCTCAAATTTTCTCTAGTCCGGCAAACTGATTCTTTATGACCAAGTTTATTGCACACCGTGCATCTATGATTTCTAAATCTGCAAAATCTTGAAAAGTGCCACGAGCCGCAATACCAACATTTCGTTGAAGGTTTAGGAATTTTTGTGTGATGTTTATAACTTTTGGCACTTTTTTGTCCTTGACTTGTCTTAACAGCATGGACAGAATGATTAGATGGTGCAGCACTTTTGGTTTCTAACATAGCCGAATCCTGTTTCAAGTTTATTAATCGTTGACACTCACCAGTAACGGTTTGTAGCGTCATTTCTTCGTCATGTTCCATACGAGATAATAACTTCATGCGAACATCAGCATCGCTGGGAGAATTCAGACCAGAAATAAATAATAAGCATTTAAATTGATCACTGGTTAACACATTTAATTTAAATCGTTCCGCTTGTAAATTTACTCTTCCGGCATACGTAGTATAATCCTCATCAGCTTCTCTAGTCAGTTGTAGACAATTATACCGGATACGAAATAAAGACATCTGTTCAGAAAACATTTTATTTAGAATGTTAACAGTTTCATCGAAACTAATCTCTCGTGGATGTTTGGGCAGGATATGGTTTTTATACTTCTGATGCTCGTTAGGACCAAGTTTCTGTAAGAGCAACCGGACTTTCTTTGTGTCCTCCATAGCAGCAAATTCTACTCGAAAAATATCTTCAATTCTGCCAAACCATGCTTCAAAAGTGCGACCGCTGTCTGCATCGAAAATAAATTCTGGAATTGGATTAAGATATGACTCTATGCTTTTATGTTCTGGAATATCTTGCTGAATAGACATTTTCCCCAAAAGTGCTTCCAGGAGTTGTTGTTGACAAGCTAACATCTGTTGCTGCTGCTGCTGCAATATTAACTGTAGCTGTTCTGGAGAAATTGACATTTTTTTTAAAATGAGAATAATAATAATAAATCCAAAAAAAACACAGGCAAATATTATGGATTATTTAATTCCAAAATGACGTCACCGACTGCTGTATTTTTTTTGCCAGAATCACGTCCCAATTCTTGTATTTTTTTTACCGAAATCCCCGTCGCCAATTCGTTATGACTTTACCTAGCCGTCGCCAATTTGTCATGTTTTTGACCTAGACTGTAGCCAATTGTTATGACTTGATCAAGGTCGTCGCTGATTCGTTATGACCTTACGAATTTAACAAGGACGTAATTCTCGTAAATGATCCACCAATAGAATACGCCTTCTACGACCTTCACACTGTGACAATGACGTTCGATTAATATGAGTAATCTAGCGTCCTTATTGGTCCTTATCCGCCTACCCGTCCACTTGAGTCCAGAACACCAATAGCAGCTGCTGTAATGCGAATCGTTTATTTCAAGCATAGAATATAGATATAGATAGTCCAGTTACTGAATAGTTATACCATAAGAATATAAATAGATTAATAGTCTAATAAGAGGTCCCGTAAGTTATCAGTACTTACTTTTTCCTAGCATATAACAAAATGAAGTTCTATTAATTTGAGGTAATAAAGAATACGATAATTCCAAATCAATTGTGTAAAAAACAAGTGATAAACATTGATAATTTATATAGCTTAATAATATCTTCAACATATAGAGAATGTAGAATTGATACATACACATTGTTGAGACGAATTTTGAGCTAAACTTTTAGATGTCCACAACCATCATATTTATTCGCTTTAAATATTCCAATCAGGAAGTCTACGCCTCCACACACAATTCAGAAAAAGTATTTAAATTTCTGAATTGATTATATATATTAATGGCGTCAGCACTGTGAAAAGTTACTCCTTCACCGATGCTTTGTAGTTTGACATGTATAACATATATCTCAAAGACCATCATTAAAGCTTAACAACTTCATCATTTGGTTTCTTTAACCTATGTACTTACTTGAAACCTTAAACCAGGTCGAACTTTTATCACGCGGTAGTAGTTTTTCTACATCTATGGGAAGACACGTGTTTCTTCTGCTTTTGATAACCAGTTTCCACAACAATAATTAATACACAATGCACTGTTGCTAGGTCTATCCATTTTTTCGATAAATAAACAAATAATATAAGTTGCCTGTTATTGGACGAACCTTGTTTCAGAATCCAAACTCATCAAAGCTGACAAAACTAAGTAATATGGTTGATACACTTGTAGATGGCGTCGAGTCGCGATTGACTATGATCGCCACTACAGGAAAATTACGTGCCAGATATCGAATTGGGTCCTTCGGCATGCCAAAAGCCAAAAGGCTGTTAATGGTTACAATATGGTTTATTTGTTGGCGATCTCGTTGTATCGAAAGAATACCGAGACGTGCCAAAGATTACAAGCGGAACTGCCGCGCGGAAGCGAGTTCGCGCAAGGTCACAGGCAACGGAAGGAAAAGTGTCTTTGGTACAGTTAAACAAACAAGTACAATAAAACAATCACTGGTACAATTGGTTATAATAATAATTGTTTCCATTATACCAATCGCGTCCTCGTCATAAAAGTAGGTCACTACACACTTGTACATGTTACTCCTTAAACTGTGTGACTGTGCAGTTAGGGCATTATTTCAAATGTATTTTAAATAGTATTTTTTCACTTTAGGAAACTTTGCTGATTAACTGTCTAATCTACACTGAATGGAACAAATCTAGGCTAGACATTTGACTTTCTCGAGTCGACCGGTGATGTCTACTCAAATGGAGGAAAATTTATCCGAGTTAGCC